AGATGCCGTCTGTGGTAATGGTAAGAGGAAACATGGATTAATGGATGACAAAAGTACAAGTCAACGTGGAAAGGATGGGGGGTGCGTTCGCTATGACGGAGAGTCGAAACATCCATTTTCGCGGCTGTTTTTAGGCCGCGTCACTTTCCCTCCTCCCTTTTTGACCCTTTCGCTTTCATTGTATCTCTTTAATAGAGGTGCTTGCCAGATTCGAATAATTTCACTGACCAATTGTAAAAGACTCGGAGGTCTCGGTGGTATTCGAACGCACGCCAGCAGGGCTTTAGTGCAGCCAATGCTCGAGTCAACTGAGCCACGAGACCCTCACCAGGAGCCGTGACCTTAATCAAACTTGGGTCAATTTACCCGTCCGGTCTTTCTGCAACGCATGGAATCCACCAATCCAGAAACAGTAAGCTGACTGCTGGGTATGGCTGGCCTATGACGGCTGATAAGCCGGAAACTATCAGTACATTCTGCTTTGTCTTTGTCGGTACTGTTATTCTGCCTATAGTGAGCTAGGGCTCCACTTGTTGATTGCTACTCTTCATGTACTTTGCTGCAAAGTGGTGAACTCGCCAAAGGAGAAGCAATAGGCCGGAAGTACCATTTCTGGTTTAGCTTGAGTCGTCAACCCGGCACATTCAAACTCCAGACTAAGCACAAGTAGAGTTGTTCAGCAAATTCAATGCTCTCTCTACTGCCGTCGTGCACATCCGAATCCAGCCATGAATGGCGCTCACTGAAATGCTGTGCCCAACAGTTGGGCCGTTCATTTCGACAATGTCCACCACGAGCTTCAGCCGGCTGGAGGCAACCGCGGTGATTAAAGGTGGATTATAGTGAAAGTAGACTCACGCAGGGTCTACCCCACTCCCATACATGAGCCCGGTGTCAAGACAAAGTCGAGATAACCGGGGAGGGAGTGTTGTGTCCACTAAGTAGGACACCTAGTAAATGTCGTAGCTTACAACAACAATCGATTCCGGGGATCAGTGTTTCGACT